TAATCGGTCACGACGCTAATATCAAGAAACTTGCAGTGCAAAGGCGTTACCGCAAAAAGAGACGCATGCGTCTTCGACGCATGCTTGTCGCTCATATGGATCGCCCCGGAAGTCGGTCTGCACGTCAGCGCAAGAGTGATGACGAAAGCGAGGATTTTTTCGCCCACGAAAATATCGCTTTCGCTTGGGATCGAGATTTGGTAGTCGCTTTGGCGGCGTGGCAGTATGTAGTTGGTATGCTGATGTTCCACAATATGACATGGTCATTGTTCCAAATCATATCACATCAACAAGACCTCCGCGTATTTGCCGTTATTGTTTGTCTTTACGAAAATCCTCGCAACAATGGTAGAAAAAGCGGAATTTAATGAATTGGCGAAACTTCAGCTGAATATGTAAAAATTGGTTTTGAGATCTAGTTCATGAATTGTGTAAAGCTACGTACACCCACAGTGTGAACTGTCAGTCGGGGCGTGTATACTATCATTGCTGACTCGCTAAACGTGCGCATAGAGGAACGGCAGACAACCCAGTTTTCACTTTTGTATAATGAGATTAGTGTGGCCACCGTATAACGTAAAACAAGGTGAATCATAGAGAAGAAATATATAAAGCAACTCGGTTGCACAGAGAGCCGAACTCGAATTGCACCTGCATATTACTATCCCCAGTGGCGACACGCCACTTGAAACTGGCAAGCCTCATAAATACCATGGTGTGATTATAAAGCTACCGATGAATTCCGATTCCCGAGTCCATTTCATTGAAATGTACTGATACAGACGATCCCCTCGATAGTAATCCCTAGAAATGGAATACTCCCTCAACAGCAATAAATTAGCGGTTCCCGTTGACCAGTCACTTACAAACCCAAGATATTATTCCCCCTCGCACCCCTAAATCGTAAAATGGAATATCAAATATACCTATTCTGGGGTGCTTAACTATGGAAAAGTTATAACTGCACAAGAGCATTGTTGCTGCCACGATCCGAATGTTGAACCGATGATACCTATTTTGACTACTTTGGTCTACTGTGCCGGTTGGCCTGCTTGCTGACTCACGTCCTCGAGACTTGTTGATAATAATACAATAGGTTGTGTAACTCCTCTCGCGCACGTGATTCGAGCTTTAGGATCACGGAGAAGTGCTCAACCTTCACTCTGATTGCACACCTGTGACGGCAACACTTTCTTCTGACGAGTCTTCAC